GGTAGATCCTGGGTTCCAATCTCGCTCGCGGGGCAGGATCGTGGATGCGCACTGCTGATGAGTCCCATAATAGAACGAAATGGCCGTCCAGTGTTTCCAAATTTTCCATGGTTATCTAGCTTCAATTGACTCATGATTTCAACTATGAAAAATGTATTTTCATCATTACTCTTTTTTATTTATAATTCTTAAACTGGTAACCATACCCTCTAATTCACTATAAAATGATTATTAACACTGCCAATAATAGTTCATGTAATCTTATCATTTGAAGTAAACAAAACAGTGATATGGTGTATCTGTGACAATGAGATAAAGATTGAGTGTGTGTGTGTGGGGGGGTAGGGGAGGTGTACGATGAAATATGAATACAAATCAGTATAAGTCCATTCCCTGTGAAATTAAATATACACATTCACAACTTCATATACACATGTATATCTTTGTGTTTTTTTTTCTTTTTATAAATGTATAAACTAGACGAGAAGTAATTGAGATAAGGTACAAAAAGATTAATGGTGATGATAACCATTAATGAATTCTCACGAAGTTGAAAACATGAAAAATAAAAACTAGAAAGGGTTTTCTAAAGAAAAATGGATAGTGGCTAGCAGTGGAATCTAGTTTGACGCACGTTTCGTTCTATTTGGGACTCGTCAACTGGATGTACCTGCATCTCAATATTGATGTTCACTCTAGGACTCGAACCCAGTAACTTTTGCTTCAAACACCATCACATTATTCACTCATCTACTGAGTCCTAATAACCACTTGCTTGTACAATGGAGTGAAGTTGGAATTCACATAGCATTACTTGTTTAAATTTTTTCATTGATGTTTAGGACTGCAACTGGTCAATTTGTAATTGGCGTATGTGCATATCCATCTTAGCTTACAATGCTTAATATTTAAGGCCATATCGAGGCAATACGCACAGGATGCACATATGTCAATAAGAGACTGACCGTTTGTAGTCCTACAAACATCGTTGGAAATATTCAAACAAACAATACTAATTGAATACAGAGAGGGTTTCGATGTACAAAGGGAAATTACAAAATGAACAACACTAATTAAACATTAAATTCTGCACATGATGATAAGAATTCATGTATTTGAATTTTATTCATTAATACTGCAAAACGTCATATTTAACTCATGTACGAGAGTTTTGTAGAACTCTTTTCCCTAACAGAGATCAATCTTCAGTGAATACAAACATTTGCCTATCATTAGATCTTCAGTTTAAAAGTACCTCGTATTGTTTATTCCTTGACTTCATTCTTTCTTCTCGTATCATGTTGTTTATGTCTGATACTTTTGATAATTATTAATTCTAATAATAAGTCCATTACCATGGTATTTGTCTTGATAATTCGATCTTACTATATTGATATAATGCGGCAACTTAAGGTGAAGTATATGTGTTTCAGGTTCTATATTGCTTTTAACGAATCGGCTGACTAATCACGTAGAAATTATGGGGAAGTTGTCAATTGTCTTATTTCAGTTACAACTTTCAACGCAATAGGGTACGGCTATGTAATTTCGTGGATTGGTTAAGGTTAGACATTAACATCGTTGGATGCCGACCAGCTCAGTGGTCTATCGGTTAAGTGCTCTGGCGCCAGACTGTTAGATCCTGGATTCGAATATTGCGAGGTGGGATGGTGGATGCGCACTGTTGAGGACTCCCACAATAGGACGAAACGGTCGTCCTGTGCTTACAGGTTTTCCATAGTGATCTAGCTTCAATTGACTCATGATTTCAGTTATATAATAATATTATTGAATTACAAATCTATATATTCCAAGGTTATGAGTTTTCATTGAAAAATTTAAATATCTTCTATTTTAACCCTATTTAGTTTCGAATATCTGAACTATTGAAAAATTTTAAACTTTTGTTTAGTGTTCCTTGATTTTTGTAGTTGTGTGGTGTGAGTTACTTATATCTACACAAGTAGTATATAACGATGGTCAGGCATTGGATGTATTTCAGTAGAAGATCGATAAGGAGAGAACGGAAACGAAAGGCAATAGGTATGAAAATGCATGAACAACAATAATAAAAGACTACTGACTGTTATTGCAGAAGAAATAATCAAGATTCAGACAATTGATTGACAGTTTGCAAATTAACTGTTTACTGTATGGTTATCAAATTTTAGTGTGATAGTCCGTAATTTCTATGTCGGCTACATCCTATTGTCTTCACACATCTTTACTCACTTCATTTGTACCCCAATTGAATCAGTCGAGTCGGTAGTGGGACAATATTTGTATTTCATCTGACTGAAAATGCTTCCATTATTAAATAACGGATTATTTGTATATAGTTGAGATTCTAAGTGAATTGAAGCTAGACCAACCATGGAAAACTTGGAAGCACTGGACGTCCATTTCGTCCTGTTATGGGACTCCTCGGCAGTGCGCATCCACGATCACATCCCATGAGATTCAAACCCGGGACCTATCGGTGTTGCGCGCGAACGCCGAACCACTAGACTACTGATCTGGTCGGCATCCAACGGTGTTAATGTTCAACGACCGTCCAGTGCCTTCGGATTTTCCATGGTTGTCTAGCTTCAACTGACTCATGATTTCAACCGTATGCAATTACTAAAATCTCCACAAAACCACCTTCTGATTTATTCTATTTTGTTTGAAAATCCTAAATTCACATGTTGTAACACTTTAAACGATACAGTTTGCAATCAGAAGGGGATTTGTGGAGATTTCAGTATTTTTCAAAGTTGTAATCATGAGTCAATTGAAGCTAGATCGTGGATGCGCACTGCTGAGGAGTCCCACAATAGGACGAAACAGCCGACCAGTGCTTCTAAGTTTTCGATGATGGTCTGGCTTCAATTGACTCATGATTTCAATTTTTAAAAATGCTGAAATCTCCACAAATCACTTTCTGATTATAATCATATGCTCACTAGTGACTGACTTCAAGATACATATCCTGGAGTTCTAGTGGGAAGCAGTGACCAGTGGAGTTCAACCAAGTCTGTTGTGAGATAACAACTCACTGAAGGCAATTGATGAATGGTCGCTCATAATTCGTGGATCGGTTGAAGTTAGACATTAACACCATGGTCTATCGGTTAAGGGCTCTGGCTCGAAACTGGTAGGTCCTGGGTTCGAATTTCGCGAGTATGGGATCGTGGATGTGCATTGCTGAGGAGTCCCATAATAGGACGAAACGGCCGTCCAGTGCTTCCAGGTTTTCTATGGTGGTCTAGCTTCAATTGATTCATTATTTCAACTTTGAAAGATACAGTTTGCCCTTAACTTGGACAACGTTTTCGGATTATTACTTAGGATATAAGAATTATAGAATCTGAAGAGAATTTATCGTAAAGAATGTACCTCGTTCATAGATTAGTCTTTTGAAGATGATGAGGGGAAGGGATCTTTAAACAATATTTGTTTAACTGTCTGTTTTTTTGGTGTTTAGAAATGGTATCATTTAGCAAAAGAGATAGTTCACCTTCTCTAAAAGATGACTGTACTAAATAAAAAATAATTTAATGATTACAGTGTGAACTATCTGATTCAGCTTTATAAGCAAAGGTGGATAGTGGCTATTAGTGGAATTCAGGATACGCGTTTCGTCCAATTTGGGACATATCAACTGGATGTATCTGTATCCCAGAGTTGATGTTCACTCCGGGACTTTAACCCAGTACCATTTGCTTCAAACACTATGGACATTATTCTATTAGCTATTGAGTCCTGATACTCACTTTCTCGTGCAGTGAGTGGGAGTTTTAAATTCATTTGATGTTATTCGAGTACCGTAGTGAACATTAATTCCTAGATGCATTTATATCCAGTTGATGAGTTCCAAATTAGACGAAACGCCTGTCATAGCCATTATCCATCGTTGCTTATAATGCTTATGAATTAAGGCAACATCAAAACAATCCACACAGTATGCACATATGGCCAATAAGAGACTAATCAATTACAGTCCTAAACAACAATGGGAAGATATAAGTAAACAACAACAAGTGAACTTATCTGATTCATCAATTTTATGAGAATTTTAAATAGAAATATAAACATTTCTTTATCAGTAAGTTCTGTATATTGAATATTAAATGTATATTCAGTTAACTATTGGGGCAAAGATAATGAACACTTTGTTAACATAAACAATTTATGTTGAAAATAAACTAAGTCAGAAGGGGGGTTTCGTGGAGATTTTAGTAATTTTCTTATAGTTGAGAACATTAGTCAATTGAAGCTAGATAACCATGGAAAACTTAGAAACACTGGATGACTGTTTCGTTCTAGTGTGAGACTCCTCAGCAGTACTCATTCACGATCCCACCTCACGAGATTCGAACTCATGATCTACCAGTCTCGCACCACAGCACTTAACCGATGGACCACTGAGTCGGCCGGCATCCAACGATGTTAATGTCTAACCTTAACCAATCCACGAAATTGCACGACCATCTTCCATTGTACGGAGATAGATATCTGTCTCTACTTAACATGGATCAGCTCGACTGAACATTAAATTTGTAACTAAGCAATAGATTTTTATTTGATAATGGTGAATTTTATAGGGTTTAAATAACAAGTGCTAGGTGGAAACAGTTATTTAGCTCGGGAAATAGATTAAGGGTTGCGTATGATTATGAATCGAATGAAGTTAAATATTTACAGCGTTTGATGCTTGGTCAATAGTCTAGAAATAAAGCATTCGCCCACGAAACTGAAGGTTCTAGGTTCAAGTCCCTTTGGTTGGAGATCATGAATACGAATTATTTAGAAGTCATATACTAGGAAGAAACAGTCATCCAGTGTTTCAAGATTTTCAATGGTGATTTAGCTTAAATTGACTCATCAATTTAACTATCAAAATGAAAAAAAAAATAGTTTTGTATGTTTTAAAACGAATAATTCCTGTTTCTTCTTTTTTTTTTTACCCCCCTATTTTCATCTTGGGATTCGACCAACAAAAAAAACTCTACCCAAAGGTATTTGAATGTAATCGTGTTGGGAATCGAATACAAAAACCACCAATATGTGCAGAGATTATTTGTCATGTTGATGAATTAGTTAAAAATCGTCCTGTTTTAATTAAAGTTACTGGATGGTTATGGGCACGTACTCTGTTTGCAAAACATATATCAGATGTTGATGTAAGTTAAAATGAAAAAATCTCTTTTTATTTACATTTCTATCAATATTTACATTTTGCACTGTTCACTTAGACGACCATTCAATCATCAACTGATTTTAATAGTATACTTTTGTTTACTAAAGTTGTTTTTCTAATGATTACCATTCACTATAGAGTTTTGTTCTCTCAGCTTGATGGTTTGGTTGTGAAGCTTTCATTGTTCTTCTCAACGACATCATCAGCAGCACAAACTTTGGGTGAAAGTTTGTTCGCTAGTTGATAATCATTAACAAGACCTATCTCCGATGTTGATAGAATCCAGATTCCTTATGTTATTCGAATCGTCATCACTTAATGTCATAGTTAATGATGTTTCAAATGGTTTACATGTGTTATTACCGATCCCCTGTCAGAGTTATCTATTCATACTGAATGGTGACTGAATGCTAACGGATATAGTAGATTTCAGATCAGTTGATATACATACACGATCCACTTAATGTCAAGTTAATTAGAAGATTAATTTCCAGATTACAATTTGATCTATAGGATTTGATTAACATTTATCACTGAACAAATTTTACATGGGGTACTGCTAAATGATCAATCTGTGTGGGTTATTCAAATATCTTCACATCAAAGTACCATTTAACAGTTAATACATATTTTAAAATTAATGAAACATATTCATTTTAAATAGTATGGTGTAGGTTATTGATATCCACATAAGTAGTATATGGTGATGGTCAGATATTGAATGTATTTCAGTAGAAGATCAAGAAGGCGAGAACATTAACGGCACCCAATTGGTACGAAAATGCATGAATAATGAAATTAGAGAAGATGAACTGATATTTACAGAAGGAACAGTTAAGATTGAGACAATTGATTGTTAATTTGCAAATTAACTGTTCATTGTATGGTTATCAGAATTTCGTGAGATTGTCTGTAATTCAATTGTCTCTAACTAGAGTTTTGTTCATCTTGTTATGCTAACGAGGTATGGCAACTTGGATTGATGCATATATGTGCCTAGTCCTACGTTGTAGCTGACTGACTGACTGTAGAAAAAACAGATAATGCTAGGCTATGAATTTAGAACTTTCTATCATTGGTTAAAATCAAATGAAGAAATTATCGAGGGAGGTCTATAAAAAGTTTTTTTGGAGGTTCTTATTGAAGATATTCAAAAAATATACACTCATGACCTTATACTGAGTTGATAAACAATATTGTTTAGATTCACTTAGCATTTTTTGTTTGAATCTTCCCATTGATGTTTTTGGACTGCAACTGGTCAGTCTCTAATTGGCATATGTGCATACTGTGCGTATTGCCTCGATATAGCCTTAATTCACATATTAGAAACTGACCAGTTGCAGTCCTAACACATCAATGGGAAGATTCAAACAAATAGTACTAAGTGAATTTAAACTTCACTCCATTGCACAAGCAAGTGGCTATCAGGAATCAGTGACCGAGTGGATAACGCGATGGCCTTTGAAGCGAGGGTACTGGGTTCAAGTCCTAGAGTGAACATCAACTGTGAGATGCAGGTACATCCAGTTGACGAGTCTTAAACGGGACGAAACGCGAGCCCTGGACTCCACTGCTAGCCACTATCCATCTTTGCTTACCAATATTGTTTAGGTCTTGAAAGGATCATGACACGTTTACACTACTTCATTGATATTAATTAGTTCATATTTCCAACTACAATTATTTCATAATCTCTCAGAGTAGTAATCAACCAATAGCTTCTGTACGTCATAAAGATACCACATGCATTCAGAGTTTGACAAAGCCTTTACACATAACACTTTTATAATCGACGTCTACTTATACAGTCAAATCGGTAGTTAGAATTAAAGGTGTTCGAAGATTTAAGCTGGCTAACAGTTGTAAGGGATACGTAGTTTGGCATGTCCATTGGTTATCTAGTGAAGATGGATGACAAAGTGACTTCCTCTAGGATATGTCCAGTAAAACTAATAAGGGCAACATCAATGTGAAAGAAATACAGAACTATTTACTTTAACGATTTATTTACCACTACAGTCGGTTAGTGATACACTTCTAATCCTCATATTAGAATATAGAATAGTAGTCCACTAAGCCAACATAAATTGGTCCATAACTGAATAAACATACATAAACAATTCATTGACGTATATATACTACTAATACTACTACTAATAATAATAACAATCACACACACACTCACACACATACACACTACTGAAAAACAATTCAGTAATGTAAACTAACGTTATAAAAACTGTCATTTTATGAATAATTACAATCTCATGAGATTATAGAAAGTATGAAAGTGTTTACCTTTTACTTTACACTTGTATAAAATGTTCCATTTAGTATTATGATAACTTCACATTTTTATGATTAAATATATAAATAGAATTTGATGTTCATCGTGTTGTTATGCTAATGAGGTATGACAAATTGAATCGATGCCTGATCGTAAATTGTAGATGACTGACTGACTGACTGATTAACTAACTGATAAATATGCATAACAACTAATAAATATGACATAAATGAGTAAAGAACTAGTTCTATCTGTTTATCAAGTCATTTTTTTCCTTTGGGAATATTAAGAATACCATTTGGTATATTTTGAATGATTCAATAAAATTGAATGTAATTGTCAATTGGATATTGAATTTGTTTATTCCCATATTATAATAAACATAATAATAATAATAATAATAATACACAAAAATGATGGACAATTTTGAATCGTATATCTTATTTACATTTATCAGTCATTCAGCTACAACGTAAGACCAGGCACATATATGCATCGGTCCAATTTGCCATACCTCATTAGCACAACAAGATAAACACTGAATTCATAGAAATAGTTAATTTAGTAGTGGTAGTATATGAAAGATAGGTTGTATATAAGGATATAGTATATGAGGGAGGACAGATATGATGCTACTTGAATCTCAAAGTTTAAGGGAAGATAAAGAGTGTATACACCTACGCCATTGTGATCGATTCTGAGCCATATCACCTAGAGTCTCCAAACATTGGTTACGATAGTCACGCAGACGCCAACCAAGTAGTCTGTATCTACCAAGATGGCTCAGACTAAAAGTTAGTGACTTTAAGCTCTGATGCCACGTTTTGGTTTGGCTGCCCCTAACTATCTTCCAACCATCGCCAATACTAGTCAGCATAGCGTGTCGTAGTATTCTGTGTTCAGGCATACGTAACACGTGACCTAACCATCTCAGTCGATGAAGATTTATGACTTCATGAACTTATTTACCATCATTTTCTAATACCCTGTGTCTAACATCATTATTACTTACCTCACCGAAATTCTCCATAACCTTGACTATAGTTACAAATCTTGTTAATTATTAAGAGTTGTAATTAACTACCAACCACCAGCGCTCTAATTCGTCATTCTAAGAGTTGCTCAAGGACATCAAAATAGTCTTACAGATTATTTCGTTAGCTGTTAGGGTTTTCGCCTTCTGGAGCATTAGTCGGTCCTGCTTTCTGCCTAGCCCAGTAAGTTAAGTTCAAAACACCAATAACAACCTCTGTAATATGAATCATTTTTCTCAAACATACTGGGTTTATATACGAAACAAACTGACTACATCGTACCATAAAATAGAAAATAACATTTGTACAAGATTTAGCCAAATGTGGCTGTGAATAGAGGGGAACAGTAATTTAGAGACCTGGGAAGTAACACAAACAGTCAGATATCTCTCTTCATTAAATGAAGTATACCATGGTGTTGTTTCTATTCAAACTGTACTATTTATGCTTGTTGCCTATTTAGTGTATCATGTTGTCAAGTTATATGGTAAGTTTGTAAGTTCTTGTGCTTCTGTGTAAGAATGATTATAAACTATTCAATTTATATTTTGAAAGCATTCGTTAATATTTTGGTTAGTTGAATAACCAACTGTACCAGGGTTGAAATCACGAGTCAATTGAAGCTAGATCACGATGTAAAACCTGGAAGCATTGGATGGCCGTTTTGTCTTATTACGGGACTCCTCAGCAGTGCGCATCCACGATCCCACCTCACAAGATTCGAACCCAGGACCTATCAGTCTCGCGCCAGCGCACTTAACCGAGTCCCATAATAGCACTTAACCGGAGTCCGTTATCATTAGACTTAACCGGAGTCCTATGATAGGACGAAACGGCCATCCAGAGCTTCTAAGTTTTCCACGGTTGGTCTAGCTTCAATTCACTCATGATTTCAACTATGAAAATTTTGAAATCTCCACAAAACCCTTTCTAACTGTACCATGTTTTCTATTCATGTGATCTATTCATACTTTAAACAAAATTTATTCTAAAAACTACACTGAAATTAGCTAATTGAATGAAAACACTAATGGACTTTTATTAAATCAACTTCATAAGAGACTATAGTTCAATTTTATTTTGTTCGTTTTTGAATCTTCCCATTCATGTTGAGGTATATGTGTATGTATCCTGTAAGGATTGTCTTAAATCACAAGTATTCTATGGGGAGATGAATGATTTACTGAAAGGAAGATAATTAAGAATCAAGTGACCAAAATCATTCATTCACAGTAGTTGGTCCAGATACCCGCTGTGGATATGTGTGTCAGTACATAAATACTTTTACATTGATATTACTATGATGATGATGATGATGATGTTTCAACTGCTATGGTAACTATGATGTTCTCTCTCACTCTCAATTTGTTTGTTTTTCCCCCTTACAGCTTGTCACAATCATATCTGTCAATCAAGGTAGTATACCAAAAGGTGTCCAACCAGCTAATGAACCAATTGGACATTTTTATTTATCTCAAACATTTTTCTTCCCACAAATTCGACCGAAATTAATTCATCAATTACCTATATGGCCAATTATTGTTGGTATTATATTAGGTGTATTATTTTTATATCTGTTAATTATTCTACTATATCTATTAGGATTCTTTCGTCGACGTAAAACTGAATTACGTAAAGCAATGCTTAGTAAGGGGGGAGCTGAAGACACTTATAAACATGAACAAACGGAACTTCTTTTAAATGATCAAAATAAATCAAAACAAGGTGTTACTATAAAGAATAATAATTATCACCCCCCTGATGGTTACACCACCAATGTTACACCATCTAATAAAAATAAAAAATTAAAAAAGAAACATAAACGTGAATTGAATATTTTACATCCTGGTGATTTATCACCATCTGGTACATTAATTAATACTTGTCAGGATCAAGATCAGGATCATCAGGATCAAGATCATCGGGATCAAGATCATCATCATGATGAACAACAGAATAAAGATGGATCTGAAAAACAAAATTTAATTACAGATTCTACTTCATCACAATAAAAATGTATTTTGTTGTTGTTTTTTTCTTCTTATGAATGTATGTGTATTTTGTATGAGTGTGAATCCAGTCAGTATCTATGAAGTTGATGTTCAGAATCTATTCTTATTATTATTATAATCAGTTTATGGGTTTGTCTTCCTTTTTCAAAATGTATAAATCTATATATTGTATTGTGATACATCTATAGCAATCAGCTTGTTGTCTATACATCTCCACTATATGCACATTTATATATATATATAAGATAAGATTTCATTTGACTCTTTTGTTATGATGATCCAATGTCAAATCACGTTGATTGATTATCTGACTTGACACATTTCGTTCTTCACTTCACTCACTTGCCTTCTGTTATTCTCTTGTGGATATGTTTCATAATGCATAATTAATTACTTATACCTATTACTCGTCATGGAGCATAGGTCACCGACTAGCATTCTCCAATCCACTCTGTGTTTGGGCCTTCTTTTCTAGTTCTATCCATATTCATAATACATAGGTAAAATGTTTATAGTTCTTCTTCCTCATTTTTTTTCATAGCAACATATATATATTTATTCATCACTGATATTAACCTCTCTCTTTCTCATAGGTGTTACCGATAAGATTGTTTCTTTTCTACTTTTTTTTCTTTTTCCAAACTACAAACAAGTGAGATGATGAATATAACGACAGAGAGTAAGAGAGAGATATTCGCTTTTTGTTGTTATCCTTGTTATTAGTTCTATACTGTTCTGCTCTATTTTGTTGAAATTAGCTACTTTTTTTGGCTTAATTTGTTTTCTTGTTTCAATAAGATTTCATTCGACTCTTTTGTTACGATGATCCAATGTCAGATCACGTTGATTGATTGATTGATTCACTTGACTGATTAACTGACTTGACAAACTTAATTCTTCACTTCATTTGACTTGGCTTGACTTTTGTTGTTCTCTTGTGGATATGTTACATAATACATAGGTAAAATGTTTATAGTTCTTCTTCCTCATTTTTTTTCATAGCAACATATATTTATTCATCACTGATATTAACCTCACTCTCTCTTACACACTCTACACACTTTACTCTACTGTTTCTAATAAAACTACAGTTGGAAATAGTTGTCAGCGATAAAATGGTTTCTTACAAGTGACATAATGAATATAGAGATAGAGACAGAGAAAGAGAGAGAGAGAGGGATCTGAATTCTGTTGTTATCCTTGTTATTAGTTCTATACTGTCCTGCTCTGTTTTGTTTAAATCAGCTTTTCTATTTTAGCTTAATTTATTTTCTTGTCTCAATATTTTAATGAATATAATAAATATAATTGATATTAATGGTGACAGTATGATGAATTTGGAAGAAGAAGATGATGAAGGTGAAGAAGAAGAAGATCATGGAGGAACAAGAAGAAGAAGAGACCAAGTCATGGTAACAGCGATTGTCATATGGTTATTGAAATCAATCATATCCAAACTTGTTCATTCATATTTAATAATTAATAAAATGATTTACTTTTAAAAAACAAACAGATAGATAGATAAACAGACAGATAGATAGATAGACAGATAGACAGACAGACAGACAAACAGACAGATAGACATACAAACCTATATATTTATACACAATACATCAACATTTATATTTTCTAAATCTTATATTTATGCCTAAATGTACTACAATGATTGATTATGTGAATGATATTAGACAATTTTTGTAGTTGAGTATATGTACTATCTCTCTCTCTTTCGTTCTCTGTATTCAACTATTTTCTATGGTAACAAAATGAAATTAAATGGATGTTTGTTCTAATGAACTTTTGATTAACATTCTTCTTGTTAATTCGTATTGTTAAGTGCTTCGGCTCGAGACTGGTACGTCCTGGGTTCGAATCTCGCGAGAGCGGGTTCGTGCATGCGCACTGCTGAGGAGTCCCATAATAGGACGAAACGGCCGTCCAGTGTTTCCAGGTTTTCCATGGTGGTCTAGCTTCAATTGACTCACGCTTTCAACTATAATAAATACTAAATCTCCACAAAACCCCTTCTATAATTCGTATTCTGTTCTGTTTCTATGTTTGGTAAAAACCAAAAAAAGAACAAAAAAAAATTGACAAGGATCCTAAGAAAAGAGTTCTATTTGTTAGATAGGCTATTTATCATTGATACAAAGTTCTATAGGTTAGATTGATCAAAAGTTGATCTCACATGAGATATCAGTGAAAGCTAGAAATTACTGGACAATTGTTTTGTATTTGTATGTAACTCCGTCAAGTATAGGAAAAGATTTTAATAGTTGAGATCATATATCAATTGAAGCTAGATCATCATAGAAAAAACCTGGAAGCACTGAACAGCCGTTTTATGCTAGTATACGACACCAAAGTAGTGGGCATTCACGATCGCACGTGGTCGGTTCTAACTCGAAACCCTCGGTCTCGCATGTGAACTTTTAACTTTTAAACCACTGAGCTGGCATGCAACAGTGTTAATGTTTAACTTCAACTAATCCAAGAAATTGAGTGACACATCTATCAGTGGTCTAGAGGTTAAGCGTTTGTGCGCAAAACTGGTACAGCTTTCAAATCTCGTGAGGGCGGGATCAAGGAGGAGAACTTCTGAGGAGTCACACAATAGGACAAAGCAGCTGTCCAATTCTTTCAGGTTTTCAATGGTGATCTAGATTAGATCGACTCATGAATTCAATTATTAAAATTAATACAATCTCCCTAAATCTTCTTTCTGTTAAGAATTAATTCCCTCAAGTTATAACGATTGTTTTAGGAGGTTAAAGTTAATTGAATAATATAAACAATCACAACATTAATGAAAAGTTAACTAAACAGCATTGGAAAGTATATTGGATGGATAGACCAATTATAATTAAATAAACAGATTACTTTGATCATGATCACTAAAAATAGAACACATTTTCTAAAACTAACAATGCTGGCCCAATTAAAATTCTGTCAAACTTTCAATTTGATACTTATGTATATGTAATATCCAATGTACTTGATCTTAGTCTTAATGGTTATGCTCCTAAAAAGGTACTAACATGTCAAATGTTAGGCGCTTCAAATACTTTTCTTATTCTGTTAGACATGGTTGTAATCTGTAAAAAGTTTTCATTCATGAACGAATAATTTAAATTATCAGAAAGGGGTTTTATGGAGATTTTAGTAATTTTATGGTTGAGATCATGAGTCAATTGAAGCTAGACTATAATGAAAAACCTGGAACAATTGGATAGACGTTTCGTCTTATTGTGGGACTCCTCAGCAGTGCGCATCCAAGATCCCGAAACCTACTACAATAGGAGGAAACGGTCGTGCAGTGCTTCCAGCTTTTATATGGTAGTCTAGCTTCAATCAACTCATGATCTCAACTATAGAATAGATTAAATCTTGAATTTTTCGGATGATTTATTTAAGAACAATAAACTAATGAACCATTCAAATGAAGATCAACTTTCAGTAGGACAGAATTGATTCAAAACTTGGATAGTTATAAAGTGGTAATAAACAACTATTTTTTTCATATACTACTTAATTTTCATTTCAGCCTAACCAACATTATGATCATCATCATCATCATCAGTCTGAAAAATGAATAGGTTTTACATAATTGTCATCAGTAACGAGTCACTTCATCCTGTTAATGTCAAAGATGGTTAATTCATCATTGGAAGCACATATTTAGATCATTACAAACAATATATGCAAAGAAATCCTCAGAAACCGTGTGAGAAACTATGTTGCCAAAAACAACAGAATAAAAATGTTTACAACTCTATCATATACATATGTCTTTAAACTAATACAGATAGGTACATTTTAGTGATGACATTAACCACATAAATCATTCGTTCGCTGACAACAACAACTTTTGATTAGAAATATCTTTCAAAATAGAAGTGGTTATCAGGACCCAGTGGCCGACTGGATAATGCGATGGCGTTTGAAACGAAAGGTACTGCGTTCGAGTCCCAGAGTGAACATCAACTCTGAGATACAGGTACATCCAGCTGACGAGTCCCAAATAGGATGAGACGTGCGTCCTGTACTCCACTACTAGCCACTATCCATCTCTGCTAACATTACAACTTATTGATTAGATCAGATCTTATAATCCTTTCATCATATAGTATATTTGTTAGATAAGGTTTTGTAAAGTTTTTAAACATTCGATTGAATGAATGGAGTGTCTCGATATTTCCACAAGATTTAGCTAAGCAGGAATACTGGAATAACATTCCCCAGTGGCCGACTGGATAATGCGATGGCGTTTGAAACGAAAGGTACTGCGTTCGAGTCCCAGAGTGAACATCAACTCTGAGATACAGGTACATCCAGCTGACGAGTCCCAAATAGGATGAGACGTGCGTCCTGTACTCCACTACTAGCCACTATCCATCTCTGCTAACATTACAACTTATTGATTAGATCAGATCTTATAATCCTTTCATCATATAGTATATTTGTTAGATAAGGTTTTGTAAAGTTTTTAAACATTCGATTGAATGAATGGAGTGTCTCGATATTTCCACAAGATTTAGCTAAGCAGGAATACTGGAATAACATTCCCCTGTATTTGAGACTCGTACATACATCTCAGTGTTGAAGTATAACACACTAAGATATAAATGTCAACAAGTTCAGAATTGAGATGTTGTATCTAAATAACTAATGGATAACATATTGTCATTTGAAGAGAAATCTACTCCGTTTAAGTTCTAGTATGAACAAACAAAAATGAAATATAGATACAATCAGTTGATGAGTCCGGGGTAAGACGAAACGCATACGAACATATGGAGGAAATCTCTTCAAAATGTACAAATTGCTAACGAAAGGCAAATCAAGATTCAGTCTTGAGCAGCAACAAAGTGAAAAATCAAACACTTAAAAGTCAATACTGATTTTCTTTATTCAGAGGTAAATACGAATCAAAACTTTATGAGAGTTTCTACAAACATAGTAACCAACTTCAAATTTGAATATTAAACCATAAGAATGACTTTTCAAATCTGAATTCATAAAGTCAAGGTGTATTTAGATTCTTAGTCTTTCTACAACGTTCTTAAGTAATTTCTATTGATAGCTACCTTTCAATTTATTTTATCGTCTATAGATCACAGTCTTGAGATGGTGGAGAAGATTTGTAGCTCAGGTGGGTGATTTTGATGTGGGTTTGTTCTCTGAGCTGGATGGTTTGGTTGTGGAGCTTTCATTGTCGTGCTGATTATGTCGTTCAGAAGGATGATGAAAGCTCCACCACCAAACCATCCAGCTCAGAGAACAAACCCACACCAAAATAGATTACAGTCAGTTAACAATCAACCTGTTACTTGGCTTTGTTTTAGAGATGTTCTAATGATTACTTTATTGAGATATATATGATTACGTGAGTTAAAAGCCGTGATACAAAAGTTACTTGAAACTATTCATCTAACTTTCTGATATTCTGATGGGTGGTTTGAAACTGTAGGAATTGAGATGACATAGGTCAACTTCAATATGACATATGGATAAGCTTAAAACAACTGCAACGAATTACCGGTTAGTTTCTAGTCAATAATAAAACGGTTTTTATAAATGGATAGTTTATAGAAAATGAAACAATAATATTGTAGATTATAAATAGATCTTACACAAATGATATATCTGTTAATGTCTTCTGTAGGTTACTCATTCTGTATATCTGGAAAAAAAGGACGTATTAAATCATCTTGAAGGATTTATGCTGTCCGTATTATCGAGCCCATGAAAGGATCCGAAAAGGTTTTCAACAGTCACCATATCATGAATTGTGATCAACCAGCATTTAAAAACGTTCGATATGGAGGAGTCAGTTTAGCTGGAAACTATAAGACTCCATCTTATTATTTTCATAGTTAAAAGTATGAGTCAATTGAAGCTGGACCACCAGGGAAAAAGTGGCAGCACTGGACGGACGTTTCATCGTATTATGGGACTCCTCGATACCGACTCCACGATACCTCCTCGCCTCATGAGATTCGAACCCAGGACCTACCACTTAACCTAGCACTTAACTGATAGAAGACTGAGCTGGCATCCAACGGTGTTATTGTCTAACTTTAACCAATCCATGAAGCTGAGCAACCGTTCACCAATTGTCTTCAATGAGTTACTATCTTACAACAGACGTGGTTTGAACTCTACCGATCACTGCTTCTCACTAGAACTCCAGGAATTATCTCTCTAAGTCAGTCACTAGTGAGCATATCTTATTAGTTTGGCTATGAAATGTAGTGTTATTAGGTTAAGGTTTCTACAAGAATTAGGAATCTGATATGTTTAACTGAATCATTTTTACTGTATACTCTTTAAAATAATTTTTTACTATCATTATTTTAAACAATTTGAGTAATATACAATGATATTTCTACATTTCCGTATACTCAATATTTGAATTTCACGCTAAAAAATCCTAAAGTCTTATTCATGATTCTGATTGGTTCATCCATGAAGTATACTTTTGTTATTCTATTGATCATATGACATAGGTTGTAACCAAGGTATTAGATTTATTGTCAGCATTGTAGGCGAAACCTCAATATTTGACCAATGTAATCGATAAAAGTCTGAGAACAATAATATTTACTCCCTTCCACTACCAACACCCCCATCACTACCAATTTGATTTAACGCTGATTTGTTTTCCGGTTCAATTTTCTTCTTTTTTTTTTCTAAAAGGAAATCTCTGGTACTTTTCACTTTAGTATAAATCATTAAGCAGAATAATAATAATGATAATAACAGAATGTTCACTTATTTCATAGAAATAAAAATATTTATTATTA